GTATGTTTGAGTATGTTTGAGTATGTATGTATGTATGTATGTATGTATGTATGTATGTATGTATGTATGCTTGCATGCATGTGTATGTATGTTTACATACATGCATGCATGCATGCATCCATGCATACATACATGCATATAGAAGAATCGACTGCACAACCTTCTTCCAACTAGTAAGCCCCCTAACATCGGGCCTCTTCGTTCGGGCCTTCCTGAACCCCTAGGGCCCTAGAGCCAAAAAACGCTCCCAAAGAGTCAAAGAGCCCATCATGCCCGGAGCTTCCGTCCTGGCCCCTAGCCGAGGGAGCCCCAGTACCCAAAGGCCAAGCTTTGGACTTTATTTAGGGGTTTTATAGGGTTTAGGGTTTAGGATTTTCGGATTTCAGGCTTTCGGGCCGGTCCAAGTAACCAAAAAACGGTGGGTTCTAGATTCCAAAAAATTCTCCTCAGATCCTGCAGGCGCCATTCAGAACAAGTCGCCCATCTTGCTCTTTGACAGTCGCGGCCAGCCTGTGCCAGGTCCGTCAGCACCGTAAATCAAAAAGCAGGCGTGTTGTGCGGTCCGGGTTGCGAGGGTGCTCGGACGGAAAAGCTGTGGCCTTGGACCCCAAGACCCTAGGCCCCTATAAACACTTGATAGATGTTCAGACTGTATGCGTTCAAAAGGCGACCCCAGACCGCAGAAACAGAAGCTGAAAGCCTTGAGCCACACCCCAAAACCAAAGCCCGTAATCTCAACCCCGAAGCACAACACACTAAACCTACAGACTCAAAAAGTGGACCCTTAACCAACAACGTGAAACCGGAATTTCTGAACCCGAATCCTACATCCTGAGCCCTACCCTAAGCTTATACTATAAACCCTAAACCCTAAATCCTGGTAGCTGCCACAGATCACCATGCCAGGTGCGCTCTTGGCGGCAAAAGTCTGGCCTATCTATCCATTTGCTGCTGTGGATTGGGATCCCTGGTGAGTTCGCCCGGGTTCTTTAGGGTTAAGGGTTTGTTTTAGGGGTTTAGGGTTTAGGGTTCTTTAGGGTTTACGGGTTTCGGGTTAAGTGTTTAGGGGGCTTTCGGATATTGGGTTCCTTGACAAGTCCAGCTTGGGGTTTTATGGGGGGCTCTAATTAGGGTTTTAGGATTAGGGTTATCAGCGACTTTTGAGCTTACATAAGGCTTGAGTGTTTTAGGGTACCGAGGCTGCAGGAATATGCTATTTTGTTTGCCTCGGGTTGCAGGGTGCAGTGTTTGTTGAGTTCGAGAACACAGGATCAAGACGGAGACCTGGATCTGTTCGTCAGCGATCCCGAGCAAACTTCGCCAGTTGAGATATTATACTTCGAACGAGCGAATGCTTCTGCTTTGGTGCAAGCCAGAAGTCCATTGGCCGGTTTCGATGCCACAGCTGTGAAGAACATTGTTGTGGCAGACTTCGATGCGGATGGAGCGATGGACGCTACTCAGCCTAGGTCCCACAATAGCACCCTTTTGCGATTGTTCTTCTCTTTCAAAGGGGGGGTTGCATGTGGGGGAATATATGTTCGTTATTAAGTACCATGTACCCAAACCCTGAGGACTACAATCGCTTAAGCACATGCTGTAAACCTCAGATGCAAAAAGTCTTGGCACGCAGCTCCCTAAACCTTGACCCTAAGGCTCAAATAGACCAAAAGCATTGCAAGCCCATACCGGCCTCACAACCTCAGAGATATGATCCCTTTCAGTCTTCTTGCAAAACTGTTAAAGAGAAGGTCCTCTTCACAGACGTATGTGTAGTTCTCTAAATTAGGGTCCCTTTTAGGGTCCCTTTTTTTCAGGGTGCCGTACTATTATTGGGGACCCGCAAAAGGGACCCTAATTTAGAGAACTACCCATATGACCCCTAACAGAGCCCTAGGTTGTTTGGGGCTAGGGCAAACCTAAGCCCTAAACCCTAAACTCTATAAGCCTAAAGGTTCTCTTCAGCAAGCATGTGCCGTGGTTTTGCGAGCATCCGCTGCTCGGCTTCCTGCATGGCACGGAGGATGGGAACTTCGAGGACCGGTACGAAGGGCAGTCTTAAGGGAATCCTTAGAGTAACATAGGGGGCCTTAGTAATCAGCATAGGGTGTCGAAGTTTTGGGGCTCATTGTACTATAATAATTTCCATAATGAACCTGCGAAAAAAGTATAGCTTCTTTTTTTTACAGACCCCTCGATAGTTTACTTTAAGAGGGGGGGCTCGAAGGACCAGAGCCACGCAAGAGTTAAGGGTGCAGGGTTAAAGCAATAAGAAGGGTTTAGAGCTGTCACAGGGTTTTGGTGAATCACCCTGTCTGGGTTTCTGTTTGCCCTTCGACCCTGTCTTTTGTATTTTCCGGTTTTTTCAAGGAGAATCCTTCTGGGGGCCTTTTTTGTGCGGAAAGAAGGGGGGCTCGATACCCTAAACCCTAAACCCCTAAACCCGGGGGCCCGGCCGACAGGACTGGAGTCAGACTGGTCGTGCGAACCCTTTCCTTGGGATCGACGTCGACGGCCGGGTTTGTCTGCTGTTGGAAGTTTGGGGTTCGGGGCCCAGGGTTCAGAAAAAACCCTGAACTACACCCCGAAGCCGGATAAACCCTAAACCCGAGGCCCTAAGCAGTGTTGAAAGTGAAGCTTTGTCAGATCTCCCCAGAGGTGGGCGCCAAAACTCAAGATGCTCTGGCCCCATGCCCCTAAACCTACAGCAAACCCAAAACCCTAAACCTAAACCCCAAAACCCCCCAAAACCCGGGACCCAGTGCCCCGAAGGCTCAAAATAGCCCAACCGCCCTGTAGACAGCCCCAAACAGCTGGGTTCTTGTTAAGGGGTTCAATTTAGGTTACCATAATAGGGATCTATAGTAATAAACAATATGGCTTCCTTATTATGGCAACTTAAATAACACCCCTTAACAAGAACCCCCAAAAAGTCTGAACCCATGAGACCTGCCTTAGAGCTTGAGCTTAAGAGACCACACGCCCGCATAGTATCTACTTCGACCCAGAAGGAATCAGGAAGCAAGCCTAAGTGCAGAAAAGGCTCAGCATTACTTGTTAGGATTGCTGGGTTTTTGGTTCAGGGTTAGGCTTTAATTAAACCCCCAAAAGTAGGTAAGATGATGGCCCAAAGCCCAGAAAAAGGCTATTATTCCACGTGCTTGTTGGGGTCCAGGTAGGGTTTAGGTTTACCTGGACCCTACATAAGCCGACTTTTTGAGGGTTCCTTATAACGGCTCCTATAACAAAATGTCCTGAAAAAGGTAGCTTCTTCGGGTTTAAGGTAGGGTCTAGGTCCCTGAGTGGTACCCTTTTGCCCTTGTTACAACCGAATAGTAGGAAAAAGGATACCCTTATTTTAAAGAGGCTACTCAGGAACCAAGGGGTTTAGGTATGAAGTTGCCTGGATCCTTGGAGCATCGGCGGGAGTCGCTATGCCAAAAATAGAGGAGATAGGGTCAACGTGGCACAGAATTACCCTAAACTCTTAACCCTAAACCCTAAACCCAAAACCCTAGGGTTTCGGGTTTAGGGCTAAGAGGGGCTCTTTTGGGCTTATTGGGGCTTTCTTTGTTGGGATTTAGGGTTTAGCTTCTCCCGAGCGCGGCTTGAGGTGTAGATTTTCGGGCTGAGTTAGAGCTGAAGGATGTAGGATTTGTCTAGATTTCAGCGCTTGGACTCTCGGTTAACTCCAGATATCCCCGGATATCCCTCAGTTCGCTCCCGGGAAGGTTCCGAATATGACGAATATGGCGACATCTGCTGGGACTTCAGTGGCGCGGCATTGGCAGTCGCGGGCGGGAGCTTGGGTCAGCAAGGGCTCATCGGGCGTGTTGAGGGGCTTCCCGGCTTTTTTTTCGGGGTTCAGGCTTTAGGGCTTTGTTAGCCCCTACCGATGTAGCAAAAGCTAGGGTGTCGGTGGCGTTTTCGGCAGATTCTGGGACTTAGAGGTCTTAGAGCTTTGGCTCTGGGGTGACAGGGGGTTTAGGGTTTAGGGTTGAGGGGGCACCCGGCAGATCGGAACTTCAAGTGCAACTTCTCTGTGACAGCTCCGAACCCCCAGAGCTTGAACCAGAAACCCTGGGCCCCAAAAGCCAAGCGAACAGTCTGATCACTTCCACGAGGGCTAAATACATTCAAGAGAGCATACGACCAGAAGGCCAAACGACCAAGCCCTTCAACTCACCTGTGCCCCCCCCCCAAAAAAAAGGTTAACCAGCTTTATGCTCAGGTGTCTACAGCAGAGCAGCCATGCAAGCCAACAACAAAAATACATTGTAGAGCCGAGGTAAACTCGAAAGCAAGCAGCTCAAGAATCCTATGGGTTGCAAAGGAACAGGAATGGGTTGTTGGATCTGCTGGTCACGACGGGACAAACGCAGACCGACGAGTCTCGCATCTTCGTGTTCCTGGGACTGGATTCTGAGACCTTGCACTGTGTCTGCCTAGATGGACCTCATGCTAGGCCGCTAGGTCGTAGGAGGCTTCTTCAATCTGCAGACTGCGGTGTAGGAGCCTGTACTCGAAGCCCCAAACATCCGACTGCCAAACTTGAACCCGACACCCAAAGGGGAATCCTAAAGTGCTCCACTGGGGCGACTTAGTGCTGCTGCCCCATCAAGTCGGCCTTGTTCTCGACCCAGTGCCATGACCGCCTGCAGCAACGATGGCCTGGTGGACATGCAGTTCCCATAGGTGGTCAAGCTGAATCGCTCTTCTGTCGGCAATGCTGGATTTTGCGAAGCTCATGCAAAGACGAAGCGCGGAATCGAGCGCGCCGCTCCTCCAGGAGTTCAGTCAACTCTGAGACCCTCAAACAGGGCTGCTACCACGCCCCTCTTGCATTCCCTGCAACACGAGAGGGCATGTGTAGTAATGCACAGGGCCGGTTGGGCTTTGCTGCCGCCACAAACGCTCTGGACCAGCCGCGTGAGCGATTGCCACTCAAGTCCTGGCTGCCTTACTACCAGATGATGCAGCAGCACGAACCGCCTCTGCAGCAAGACGATCCCCATAAGCACCTGCAGTTCGACCCAGCCGGTTCCGCTCGTGCTGCCCTCCTGCGAGCTCTTCATCCAGCTTTCATAGTCAGACTACTTCTGTTCATAGCTTGTTGAGGCAATGTTTCGCTGTGCACTACAGTAAGTGCCAGCCATATTACAGTGTACAGCCTGCTTCTGGTAGCAGTCGCAGTAGTTGAAGTTGAAGGTTGATCTGCAGGAGGTTCTACCCTGAATGAGGTAGCCCTGATTCCAGGAATCCCCGAATCCGAAGCATGAGCCGAGGGCAGGCTGACAGAGCCATCATTTGGGTCCTGTGACTTTCTGGGAATCCCCTACCCTCACATCAAAGTTTTGGGAGCTGATTGTGGATGCTCTCCAACCGTGCCATACTTACCAGCTTAGGCTGGTTTGCGCCACTGGTTCTCGCATCTGACTACAGAACCAGAACCCTTCCTTTTCCCCCAGATATAGTCTTGGCAGTTCTTGGTTTGAGCGTTCAAGGCATTTTCGGGTTGAGGAATTCGACGCAGGTTATCCTGGCACTTTACGAAGCAGCTGGTGGAGAGGACCGGTGGATACACCCTCTTCCATATCAATCGCAACAGGGCGCACCCTGTTGTTGCAGACTCTGGGTTGCGGTTAAGGAACCTTTAACTATGGTACGGTAATGAGGAAACCTTATTATTTATATCCTGAAACCTTAATCCCTGCAAGGCACCCTTATAAATCCCTGACGGGAACCCGCATAGATCCGTTACAGGAACCCTTCATAGATCCCCTAAAGGGAACCAAATTAAGGTCCATAACCCTTAGGGTCCATGTACCCAAATAATATACAATTTGGCCCCAAAGTACCTATATAGGAACTACTTTAAGGCCAAAGTATATACTATTTGGGTACATGGACCCTTAGGGTAAGGTTTAGAGCCCTAAACCCTGAACCCTAAACCCCTAAACCCCTAAACCCCATTATGGTAACTTAAAACAAGGTCCATAGCAGCAACCCAGGATTGGGATGGAGATGGCATTACGGACTTGGTCCTCGGGTCGGAGTTCGGAGTCATCGAGGTGGCAACGGTTTAGGGTTTATGGTTTAGGGTTTGGGGTGAGTTTAGAGTTCAGGGTTTAGGGTTTAGGGTTTAGGGGGGAGTTTAGAGTTCAGGGTTTAGGGTTTCAGGAAAATGCAGGGCTTTTCGGGAGACGGAGTTTAGAGTTCAGGGTTTAGAGTTTCAGGAAAATACAGGGCTTTTCGGGAGATCTGAACTCTGAATACGTGTACTTTGGATAAGGCCGGGCTAGCTGGGACTGTAGAGGGATCGTTATATACCCAAGCTTGCGCGTAAACACTCAATGTGTGTAGTTTACCGCAAAAAGATATGGACTACTGCGACTATTCACTACCCATTAACCAGTCGGCAGATCTCTTGTGTGCAAGCCTCGCAGCCCGAATCCCCGAACCCATCCTTACCCTACGAACCATGAGTCCCAACCCCTGTCCCGGAACGCTAAACCTTAAAGTTTAAAGCTGAAACCCTGAACCCTGAACCGTAAACCCGAAACCCTCCACCCTAAACTCGAAATTTGAAACCCCAAACCCCCAAACCCGTAACCCCACATCCCGAAACCCGAAGCCCTAAACATCAAAACCCCAACGGACCCCAAGTACGAGGTCTTTCCACGCCGAGTGGACGGCAGCTTGGGTGCGCCGGAAAAAATCCTCCAGCTGACGGACGGTTTGGCATGGGGGTTGTATGGTTTGGTGGCATTTGCATGGGATGTATGTAGCTTTCAGGGTTTGTCATGGTTTTAGATGGGTTTTATGACTATATATTTTGGGGTTCAGGATTGATGCTTTTCCTGTTTAAGGTTTGGTATTTCAGGGTGCAGGGTCTATACAAGGTTTAGGATTTGGGTGTTACGGTGTATAGTTATCGTGTGAAGGGGTTCGAACTGTTCAGGTGCAGGGTTTAGCGTTTAAAGTTCGGGATTTCGGGGTGTAGGGCCCTGGAGGATACTCCCCATGCCCAGCCCGTTGTCGTTGATTTCAACAACGATTCTCTCAATGATATCCTGGTTGTTGACGGCACGTGGGAGGGAAGCGAGCTTCTCTATTTCGAGCGCCTGCCGAACGGAAGCCTGGAAGAGAGGTGGGAGTTGCAGATAGTTGGGAAGTTTGGTATGGGAAGACCCACATAGTAGGATGCCTATCACAAGGACCCCTAAATAAGGCAGCCCCAGTTTTACTGGAACAGCGAGGTTCCGGCTCACACCCAATTGGACACTCTGCTCTGCAGTAGCTGTCGCAGACTGGAGCGAGGATGGCTATTTGGATGTGCTTCTGCCTTGTAGCAACGACACTGGGTCATCACTGCTGGTGTGGCAGTTCTTTCAGCAGCTTCCCAATGGCTCCTTCCAGCAGCGTACAGCGCCCATAGCTGATTTGCACGATGTCTCCTCTGGCCTCTATTCTGTGTTCCTTGGCCCAAACCCTAAACCCTAAACCCTAAGTAAGCCTACGTCGGAGATCCCAATAATCCAATCGATCCTCGCTATCATCGCCCTGACCCAGAGAGTGTTGGAGCCGTCTAGGTCTACCCTAAGGGTCCATGTACCCAAATAGTATGTACTTTGGCCTTAAAGTAGTCCCTATATAGGTACTTTGGGATTGTTTGGGTACATGGACCCTAAGGGCTACAGCTCAAGATTCGGTTGCGAGACAGGGTTTAGGGTTTAGGGTTTATGGTTTGGGGTTTAGGGTTTGGGGTTTGGGGTTTAGGGAAAAATCCTGTTCAAATCAACATCTGAGACCCTCAACCGCAAACCCTAAACTGCTTTACACGCCTGAACTGGCCGCGAAGCCACTGTACAGGTCTTTGCAAGCGATCGACTTGAATTCGGATGGGACGATGGACTTGCTGATGCTGGACGGTTGGGCTTGGCGGATCTTTCTGTCTCAGCCGGATGGACAGTTGCTGGAATCCCGCGCTCGATTTAGGAATTCAGGGACTAGGCAGGGGTTCGGGGTTTTGGCAGCTTTGGGCGTTTAGGGGTTAAGCATAAGCCCTACATAAGCCCTAAACCTAAACCCTAAACGCTACAGGGGTTCCGGGGCTTTGGCTGTAGTATTAAGATAACCTCGAGGGCCTGCCGCTGGCACGGCTGTGCGAAGGTGTCGGGCTAGTGCAAGCATCATGGCAGTAGTCGTGTAACTTCATAGAATTTTTTGGGTCCCTCCTAGAAGCGTAGCTCCCGGACATGATAATCCTCAACACAAACACCTCAGCATCAGGTACTTTGGACCCTTAAAGAAGACATGTATATCCCTGTGTCCCCCATTCCGATATATTCGATGTTCGGCCCGGCGAGAAGTCTTTGGGGTCCATGATTATAGCGTCCCGTTTCCTCAGTGCCTCTTTGTAAACCCTAAACCCTAAACCCTAAACCTTGTAACCATTCTTTTGCAGCCGACTGGCTCTACAGGCCGACATTCCTGTGGTTGCTGCCCCCGGTCCCAGGTATATCATATAGCTAAATTTACACAGAATCGATCTCCCTCTCTCTCTATATATATGTGTGTGTATATATATATATATTTATTTATTTATTTACACAATAACATGTTTGTAGTTTTCTCTTGCCGGAAATAGGCTTGGTCCAAGACATCTAGCTACTGAGGAAGTGAATGTCAGTCAGTCGGTTGATCTTGTCGGAGAGTTGCCAGAGCTGGATTATGGAGACACTTGGTTCCTGAATTGTACCCTTTTGCCCTTTTTAGTGTATGGTTCAAAGATTACAGCCGAATAGTAGGAAAAAAAAGGGTCTTAAACCCTAAACCCTAAACCTACGGTTGATGATATAAATCCTGCATTACCCCTAAGAAGGAATATACCCATAATTCCCATAGTTTAGGGACCTTAAGGTAGTGCCGGATTCATACCATCAACAGTAGGACAGCTTTTTCTTGGCGGACTGGGACTCGGATGGCGACCTGGACCTCTTGGCGGGTGCCCTCCACGGGGACGGAGGGTTCGCAGTGCGTCACTTCGACAACGGCGGCTCGGTTTCGGTAGAAGCTGTGCCAGGTTTTATCATCCTAAACCCCAAGCCCTAAACTCTAAATCCCTAAACCCCTAAACCCTAAACCCCGAAACCCCTAAACCCCAAAACCCTTGAAGTTATACATTCCCTTAAGGAGAAGCTTCCGAAGGAAGCTCTGGGTGCTAAACTCTTCGAGCCCCCGATCCCGACACTTCCAACTAACCCTATTTAGGGTTTAGGGTTTAGGGTTTACCTGGAAAGCCAAGTTGCCCATAAATATATACAACTTTAAAGGAATAAGGGGCAACAGTTACCCACAATTATGGTGAACTGGCTTTCTAGGTAGGGTTTAGGGTTTCCTCCATTATCAATACTAGGGTTTCGGTTCAATAAGTTTAGGGCTGCTTCTGGCTAGTATACAAAGGGCTGATATGTGGGTTTGTTTCTGTGTAAGGGTTCTATGGGGGTTAGAACGCTAAACCTTTACCCCTCAAGGCTGCAATGTCCGTAGTGTAGGAGCCTTAATAATTAGGGTAGGGGTTTGAGGGGTGTACCATACAAGAATCATACCCGGACTATAGGGGGTTGCCTTTACAACGTCTTCAGACCCATAGTGAAACAGGTTATTGTGTAGACCCTAAACCCTAAACCCTATAAACCCTAAACCCTAAACCCTAAACCCTATAAGCCCTATAAACCCTATAAACCCTAAACCCATGTTTAAGCAGGTTATTGTCGACTAGAGCAACCCTGCACCGGCCGTGGTGCCTGTGGCCACTCCTCAGGCAAGTGCATGTGCTTCTTGGATGCTCAGTTTTAGTAGGGTTTAGGGCTTTAGGGTTTAGGGTTTTTAGGGCTCTGCGGGCAGGTAGCCTTTAGGGTTTGTAGGGGTTACAGCGTACTAGATCCTCGCCATAAAAGTCGGGGACGGCAGTAAAGGACCCAAGTGTTGAACTTGCAAGCCCTTTCCACGCCCGTCCTGAACCTAAACCCCAAACCGAAACGGAGTGCAGTCCAACTTTCAGAGAAAGCCTAAGCCAGGCTTCGCGGGGCATTCCCTCTCTGATTGTTCCGCGTGCAGCCAGGGATACCTGGATCCATCGAAGGTCAACGTTCCCCGGGCGGCCTTGAGAATCATTTTCTTAGTATACCTATATATTGCTTCATTCTGTCCCGTAACATACGTATATATATATATACATATCTATATATATATATATGCATATATATACACACATGCATATACATATACATATATACACTCATATATATTTACATGTTTTTAGATTCTATATATGCATATATACACATAGAATTTTTTAACATAGATAGATCGAATTATGTGTTATCGATTGTTTTCCCGACTGAAGCCCCAGAACAACCCGAACCCTTTTTGTTTACGTGAACCTCCAAAATCCAAAACCCTGGCCCAATCATTCAGATCACCATATTCTGGCCTTACTGTTCTAATTGCAAGAACAGTCCAGGTTGGAATCCCAGCAATAGAGCACATCAGGAAATGTTTGGCCTGTCCGGGTGTGCCTGACACTTCGCCGTGCTCTGGTCGCGGCTTCTGCAGTGACGATGTCTCAGCGAGAGGCAGATCTGCGCGTGCCGAAAATGGGGATGCCTGGGTTTTTGTGCCTTTTTGTTTGTCTAGTTTCGTTGTGGAAGCAATCCTTTGTAATTCGTGTCGTTGGGCTCTGATCATATGCCAGGCAAACATACGAACAATGGAACGCGCGCGACCGTCTATGGGGACGGCACTTGCAATTGC